CTTGCTACTAGTAGTATTGCCAGGAGCTACTAGTAGCTTCTTGCTACCAGTAGTATTGCCCTTGTTACTAGTAGCGATGCCCTTGGTACCAGTAGCGTCCTTGCTACTAGTAGTATTGCCAGGAGCTACTAGTAGTGGAGGCGGTTTTCAATGCTTTTTGAGCGGTTTTTGGACCTGCTTCCCTTCACTTCTTCGCTTCGTCTTCTTCCGCCTTCGCGCGGAGCTGTACCAAGAGGGGTGGGAAGAGCTATCTCAGACTCCCCGCTGTATGGAATGATATGGAATGTGTATACATCGATATTTATTGTCAATATACGCACATATTACATTGTATTGATAGTACAATATATTATAGATATACACACACCTATATTGGGGTGGTTGAACAGGGTTGGGTATAGAATCTGCATAAGGTTACGTTGAATTTTCCCTATGGGTTATTAATCCCCTCGTGAATATGTTACATTTTTCCAGGTTCCTGGATAGCAAATCCAACATTAAGTACTCAGCTTGAAAGCAGATGCAACACTTCCACTTGCCAGGCGTGGGCTGGCAGGACTCGAGTTCCGCGTCGAAGATTTCGCGCTCCAATTTCGCGAACTCGCGCGTCGCGACGCGAGCGATTAGGACATCCACAGTCTCCCAGAAGACCGAAGCCGCTACTGAACGCCCAGTCGGGCCCAGTCGGGATCCAGTCGCCTAGGGGAACGGTGATCTCGTGCGCACAAGCTACAGGATCCAACCCGTTTGCTCTTCGCTTCCACGATCTGTCGTGGGACTGGCATATTTGCCTTCTCAGGCCAGGGTTGGTTTCAGTCAATGTAGGCATATAGGCATATATTCCATAATTACATGGAGTATCCGGGTTTGATGGTTCTTTAAGATGCTTCGTGAGAAGTGCTGATTTGGGACACATCACTGTGAATCACCTAATATATAAATGGATCCAGCGCCCATACTACCGGTCGGAGCAACGCCTAATCTCAGTTCCAACTTCAGGGGAAACTCGCTGATGGCAACTTGGATCAGTGCTGTTCAGCAAAAACGTGTTTTCATAGAAGGGGGGACCGACGTAAACACTGAACCGGTTTGATGAGCTAGGACCATTGTGGACCAAAAGGCCAAAAAAAAAGGGTTCAGGAGGTGGAACAAGGGTGTTAGGGAGAGGTGGTGGAACAAGTGCGGTTGAACAAGTGCTCGGCTCCCAGGAGATCTGGAGCTTGAGCACTCCAAAGGCACGCCTCTGAAAAGCCGTGTCGCGGGTCGGCCAGGATCTAGCAGCTGGGCTTACAGTAGCGCATGCTGAATGCTATGTCTCAAGGACCCGACACAGAGCTTGGGCTTCCAGCCAGACGAAAAGAAGGTATACCGAGCTGCGAGCAGCTCGGTCTTTTGACCCGTGAAAGGACCTACACACAGGCTCGGCTGGGCACGAAAAAAAAGACGAACGATACAAAGCAAGGGGTGACCTTCCACTTTCCGAATGACCGCTGGGCACGTGGTGACCATGCAAGGGCCGCAAGGGGTGACCACTGCAGAGGTCCAAACTATCCGCTTCGGAGGAGTCCAGACATCGCACGGGAGCGGAGCTGAACGAGTTCCAAACGGTAAAATGAAGAATGAAGGACACGACCTGTCAGCTTCTTTGGTTTGGAGCTTACACCCAAACCAAATGGACACCAAATGGTTCCGTTTTCCGTTCCGACTCGTGCCCATTCGCCGTCTGAATGCATCAGGTCTGAGCCTGGTGCATTCGCCGGACTCGCGGTCAGACCTGGTGCGTTTGCCTGCCCAGACACGACCTGTCTGGGACTGCCAGTCCGGACTGCCGAATTTCACGGTCAGGGGTGGTTGACTGGGGGTCTGGCTTGATCGGCAGTCCGGACTGGCAGTCCCATGGGTCGTGTCTGGGCAATATGAAAAGATCAAGTTGCAGTGTGTGGGTTCTATTCTTTCTGGGGATGGGGCAGACAATACATTCAATATTAATGGAATTTAGTGCCTGCAGGAGGCCATTGCAAGTTGACCAGCCGAGCCTGGACGTGGGGGATGGCTGGTTCAACAGCGGTCCACTGTGTAAACGACCAAGACGTAGGGTCGTGTACAGCAATCTTTGGTCAACAATTGCCTGGCTACCTCAAACCCATGGCGACAGGCTACAAAACCTTTTTTTGAAAACAAAGGGCTACCCTGCCCGGACACGGCGACTTGAAAACGTGGCCCCGGTACACACTTGTGGAAAGAGAAACCTATCGCTCAAGAGCCAGATATAATTTCGGTGGATGAGAAAGCACGCTATGGAATTTCTAGGAAGGGATATGGGTGTGTAACGCGTTGAACTTTAATAGGAAGACCCCTAACATCCCCTAACTAATGGACCGGTGTTGGTCTATATTCCTTCTTCCATCACACCGATATGGCACTATGGAGTCTTCAAGATGCACTCCTTGAAATCATCCTGGGTACGTGACACAGGGAGTGAAGTTTTCACCTGTCATGGTCATCTGAAATCGGGTGCATGCCATCAACAACTATTTCAGAGGATGTTTCCACCAAGTCATATCACTCAATCTAGGGAAGTCCAGTTGAGTATTGCTCGCAGACAGAAACTCTTGGTTTGAGGCTGGGAAGCTCTCGTGGAGTCATATTCATCCCAAACCAACGCGTTGAGAAAGCTGCCCAAAGGAACTGATTCAGGGGTTGTCCCTTACGCTTTTGGGTTCAAGATGGTTCAAGCATTTTCCATAAGCCAAGCTATGTCAGGGTGGACTATAAAGAGATGAAGGACTTTGCATCATTTCAGATTGGAACTGGGTGACTGGCAACTGGGTGTTAAGAAACCTGAGGACAACAAACTGTTTCTGGCTCCTTCTGGGGGGGTCAGAGGTCAATTCTCATCTTCTTTAGCTATCCTTATAGGTTTGTTCTTTCAAACGGCAGGGCTTGGATGGAGTCCCAGTCTGCCAGCTCGGACACGGAGTCTTAGGAAGCCCAAGTAGTTGGGTCCACGCATGACGGCCAGCACGACTGATGGCCACTGCCGTTTGAAGGCCGAGATTTTAGGCTGAGGAAAGTACGATTTGCGCGATTTGGGTACTGAGCTGAACAACAAGTTCCTCGACCACCAACATCCTGAGTAGGTCAAATAGACAGGGATGCTCAACCTTCGAAAAGGGTGTGCCGCACCCTTTTCGCGGGGTGCGCGTCCAAGGTTGCATGCGCAAACAGCATAGATGAATGAGCCACATCGCGGATTCCCTTGAACAAGATGCTTCACCTTAGCTTTGAGTCTGGTGCCCAGGCTTCAACCAACTATCCAACGCCACCTTTTGAAGCAAAACTTTTGAGGAAGACTACCAGGAATGGGGTCACGAGCAAAGTCCCCAAAGAGGTCACGAACTGAAAAGGTCTTGGTTTACTAGGAGCGGTCGGACGCGACTAGTAGCTGCTGGCCTTACTATACTAGGAACAAGAAGCTACTAGTTGCAAAGACTCTAAAAACTCTTGTACCATCCTATGCCCAAGCTGCCCTGTGTGCTGCTTTCCTCAGGCCTTCCTGCCGTTGGGCTGAGTATCAAGAGCCACTGCTTGGGCGCTCAAAAGTGTGTCATATGGAGATGCGTCAGAACCTGGAGCCCCAAGCTTGACCTTCCAGCTAGGTCAACCAAGGTATCCTGGTTTTGATCCACAGCCATACATAAAAAAACATAGTAGCAACATCTATATAGAATTATATTATATATATAGTTATACATATTACACATATAGTCAGAGAGTCTCGAGAGAGAAGAAGAGACCTCCATCCATGGCGTTGGCTGTGTAGTTCCATCCCTCCCGAAGAAAAAAAAAGAAGAAGAAAGACAACGTGATGAGGATTTTGTTTGAGCCCAACATTTGGGTGGCGAAAGAGTATGCTTCAGACCGGCGAACATCTTGTTTCACCCACGTCTACAGCCTGGCTGCCCACGTTGTACAGATCTGGAGCCTTCCCGACTCGTGTCCAGAGCAGATCATGTGAGTCTTTGGGGGCCCATACGCAACAGTTATTACTAGCGAAGTAGGTGGTTCCAAAGACTAA